GGTGTCTTTTTCGGTTATTTGTATTGAAAAAGTACAGCAAAATATCGGACAATTTTGATCAGGTCATATTTTAGGCAATTTTTAATGAAGGTAGTGGAAAGTATTTGTGATGGTTGGAGAGATGATTTAGAATGAAAAGATGCCCTAGAATATCGAGGAGTGCGCAACCAGCTTTCGTTGCTTAAGTAGAAATGACCCTGTTCTTTTTGCATATCCTCGTGGAATCACTCTAGAACGTTTTGATTGCAGTTCAGGTTTACATGATCTTTCAAATTCTCTCAAAGTTCTTCTCACGCTTGCATCGTGTATTGTAAAGGCGTCGACCAAGTGATGTTTATTAAATATTTTACTTTCGCGAGTAAGCTGAACGATTCAGAATGCTCTTTTAACGCTAATTGCATGCTACGTTGAGTTTACCTCGGTTGTTAGCTGCAATTCATTTTGTCATCTAACGATTTCATAGTTCAGAAAAATAATTTAGACAATAGAAAACAAAAAAAAAACTCAGATCAGAGGATGAAGGTCTTAAACGATATTGGGTGCCTAGCCTTCCACATTTCAATTGTGGCCTTGCGGTAGTTTCTGATTTTTAGGGTTTAAAATTCAAACGTATTGTGAAAGGAATCTAAACGTTACATGAGAAGCAGTTTTTTTGCGCAAATGGAGTAATTAGCGATAACCGTCAATCTGCAGAATTATGTCACTGGTGAAAAGAGGAGAAAAAATATTGCAAAAAGAAAAGTTACAAGTGCGTGAAAACATTGAACCGATAGCAAGCGCTGGAACAAGGCGTAATCGACTGCAAGTGCGGGAAAACGTGTTATCAGTCACTGATGGTAAGCGCGGGAAAATGTGTTATCAGTCACTGATGATAAAACGCGGGAAAACGTAAGAGGTAGTAAATCTAGAACGGAGCAAATCTAGTGACGTTTGACTGGAACCACACTGTGCTTTAGAAACAAGTCATTTCTCGTTTGTTTTGTGTTATTCTGTCGTGACTAAGTAATTGTTAAGTTGACGGTTAGATTGAAGTGGCTGTAATATAATGAAAAATAGTATTGCCTTTTTATACCAGAGAGGAACAAAGTTAAGAAATATATTTTATAAAAATGAAATGAGTGTACGATTAAAAACCGTGACACGAAAAGGTGCTTGCTTTATTTTAGCTTCTTTGTCAATATCTTAAATACGGGATATATTTCCCTGAATATTTTGCATCTTAAGCTCTGCCCCATACCCCTTCTCTTTTGTGTTTCGTTTTGCATTCCATTTATACAGTTCATCTTCCTTTCCTTTAGGTATTCCGTTTGGCGTTTTTTACTGTGCTCCCTTGTCTTTTCTGTTTGTTCCTTGGGTTTGCCTCACCAGGACCGTAGCCAGAGAAAAATTATGACTGAGGCAAAGTCCATGGTAAAATTCTTTTCCTTGGCATCTACCAGTGTTTTAATTTCCCCTTTCAACAGAGAAACAACAAAAACGAGAAAAAAAAAAATGACTGAGGTAAGTGCCTTGGTTTGCCTCATACTGACTAGTCTACGGCACTGCCTACATCGCCCTTCCGTTTAACAAGAGGTTCCCTGATCAAGGATAGTGTAAGTTACCTTGTACTGTATTCCTTAAAACCAGAGAGCTTTCACCATCTTGTCACCTGTGGAAACTGATTGTATAAGAGCTGGCTCGAAGTTCGTCAAAAATACTCCACCACGCGTAGTATTTTCAACTCTCTCCTTGGTGTTTTGAAATGTGGTCAAGCACGGTCTTTCTTGCTTGATAGTATTCCATCACGTTCAAGAATTCAACTAGCCGAGAAGTTTTACTTAGCTCTCAGCCACTAGAAACAAGTTCTGACTGGTCTTTTTGTTCAGCGTCGTTATGAAACACCAATACCTGCGACAAGAATTTACTTCAAGCAAAGCTTCCAAACACTTGCTTCGGATAAGATGGTTTTGATGTCTTGCCAAAGCATAAACTGTACTCAAAACCAATGTGTTTTGTGTAGTGGTAACTTGGTCTTTTTCTTCTTCAAACAGCCTCTGTGAATCTTGATCCTCTCTTGAACCAATCAAATCGTCTCCAAAGCGAGATCTCCTGTTGGTTAAGACTGGGGAGGAAGCTATCACATGACACAAACACGACATTGTGATCGAGTGAGTAAAGATAGCAAACAAAGATAGCGGAAGACATGTGCAAGAGGGAACAAACTTTTGAGTGTAATACTCTAGTAAACTAAACGGGCTTTTTTCTTGAGGCCATTACACAAGAAAATGTAAACCTCTCGTTGAGAAATAACCGAAATGTTGAAGGTTAGCTTGTACGTGGAAATTCTTTAAGTAATTTCAACTGGACACATCAAGCACATCAAGTGAGATAACTTGGCTGAACGAACTGAAACAAAACTACAAGCCAAGATTGGATCAGATGAAGAGCAGAACAGAGGAAATGAGAAATGTCACCAGCTAAAGATAAGATAAACAGCAAATGACTGGCTGTACAGGACGATAATTGAATATTTGGCACCATAGAGCAGGTATGTTTATTAATAATTATTGTGAAATAATTAGCATTGAATAATCATTGACAAGCTCTAGGTGACAGTCTCGACTGTCAAGGTATGCATGTGTATTAAACATATAAAAACGGTCAGTGTAAAATGCAGACAGCAGACCAGGGATAAAATTTGAGGGTTCAGAAAAATATCCAACCTCTTCCCCCATGGAGGGTTTTTTTTCCTGTTTGACCCCCACCCCCTAGAATTTTCCATTTGAAGGTGCTTCCCCCTACTACCTGGAATTTCCATAATTTTTCTACTTGAGACCCCTACTGATTGGAAATTCCATATCCTCAAATAACAAGACTCGAGTCTGTTATTTTGATCTCTTAGGCACTGTGATAAAATTTGAGGTCTAGAAAAAGTGCTAAACACTTGGATTCTGC